ACGAAACGGAATTCTTGGTGAACTCAGTCGAAATTCCGAGATTTCGCTTAGGAAGCGACTGAATAAGGGGGTTAATAGGTCGATTTAAGCGAACGAGGACGACAACCTGTGGCTGGTGTGCGGTAACCCTCAAGGATTCTATCTTACGAAATCCTCCGAGAGCTTTAAAGCTATTTGCCAATAGCATTGATAACAAGCAAGCTTCCATAAAACGGTCATTGCATAAATTTCAGTGGAACGAGGAGCGAAGTCTCTACCAATTATGATTAATTCAACTATCGTATTTCACAGGATATCTCCGATATATTTCAGAAAATTTTATCCTCGAATTTCTATTTTTCTGTATTGCTTTTTGTACGGCAATTAATGTTTCTTTAATCTTTGTTTTTTTTTTTTTTTTTTTTTTTTTTGCGGTGAAAAATATGACGAGCTACCTGTTACATTATCAGTTAGAAGTAATTACTTTCGTTTTCGTAAATAGACTGCCACGGAATCACTATCTTCTATCGGAAACTTTTTTCTTATCATCAAAAATGAATCGCGGGAGCAGCCAAAGCGAAGCTAAAAACTCGGGAGTTTCACTAGCGACGAAGAATTCGTTCAGTCGCCTTTCATCGTGTCCATCCTTTCCTTTCGAAGAGAGACTCGAACTCGTCTTTCATTAAATGTACAACACAGTGTCTTTTATTACGAAATCGATGTCTATTACTTTCACGTGGATTTTTCTCATTACGTGATCCAAAGGTTCGGCATAATTTTTTAATTTCTATACGATTGAATACAAAGCGTTCAAAAGTCCACGAGTATAAAGTGATGTACACTATAAATGCGCTATATTACCAATTTAAACTTCAAGTTTAATCATCTTAGTATATGTACGTAATTTATATTATTCGTCTCCTAAAATTATTTAATTTTGGTTGAATGATAGAAAGATCGTGAAATATGCTGCCTAATTGAAATTGCTGTACTTTTTCCGAATCATTATATAATCGATGGAGAAGAACATTTTTTTCAATTGTCTATTCAACTCGGATAAATTTTTGTTATTCTCTCTCAATTCTTTCCCTAGAGCGAACAATTGATTGGCAAAGAATGATCGATAATTCTAAGTAGAATTTTATTTCGCGGCTGTATTTTGATCTGTGAGAAAGGACACAAGCATAACGTGCCACATGTGTAATTGAAATCATCTCCAGTCTCCAATGGTCAAAATTAAGTATCCGGCCAGACTGTGTTTCACTTTCTGATAAATAAGCGTCCACTGTAGATAAATTCTCTTTTTGATTAATGTATCTCATCGCCGAGGTCAAGGAAGCATCTCGTAAATCAATCCTACGTATTTCATATTATATTTCTCTGCGAACATAGTAATATATCAAGACTGGTAGCTTCTCTGAAACAACCATCGAAACATCCTGCTTTTCAATCGCAGATACACACACACATACACACACAAATGAAATTTGCGTCTATCTAGCAGAAGCAAATTGATAACTGTACAATACATACTATATATACCGGCAACTCTGGCAAACTCAATTTATGAAATCGAGCTGCATCGACTGTGAAACCACCTAAGACGTGGGGTTCGAACTCGTAGTGTCGAATTATAGTCAATGGAACGAATATATAGATTATCGGTTGTGCTATAAAATCAAAAGTGCTGTTCAAGTATCTGCGTTCTAGCCATTGAAATAAAAGATCCGACAGATTTATGAGAATCAGGAGTTTGGATTCTGTTCAAGTATTATATATATATATATATATATCGACATTGAGTTCGTTCCATCGTTGTGACGTAGGTACAATTTAAATATTATTTGCTACAAATGCGTCTGAGAAACTAAGAAAATACAGATTGAATATACTCAAGAAGTAGAGAATTCTACGTAAATAATTTCTTTGCATGGATGAACCAAATTAAACGATATAGTAGAAGTAAAATTTTCTTTCTCTTTTTCTTTTTCTCTTCATTTTTCTGATCCCGTTGTATTTACGAAAATTTCCTTTATCTCCCTTTTATTTCCAACGAAAGGATTCGTAAATCTGACCACTGTCGTTATATCATTTCCAGAAACGAAATGAAAAAAAGAGAAAAAGCCAAAGGCATTTTAAGCGTTCGATTGTATATACGAGAAGAAGATCCGTACCTACGGCCAATTGTTACCATTATTTTGGATAAGCATCGTGTGGTTTATGACCACGCTACGTTCTCACACGGTAGCAAAGACCGAGGAATTTGTAAAGCAATCAAGAAAGAAATCATCCTTTTCTTCATGATGGACAAAAGGGGTCGTGTCGGATGGAAATCGATATGGGGCAGGTAGGCGGTCGAAGGCATTTCAACTTGGGGTAGAGAGGGGTAGACGGAGGACTCGTCGGGGTGGTTGAGCTAGCAGGGGAGCCAGGTATCGATTCCAGGCTGCAAGAGGAGAAAGAACCCCTCCCGTTGCTCCATGCCCTCTTTCCAGCCCACGCACTACAGGTCACCGGGTCAAAGCTCACGGCCGGCTCACTGTTGCTTCTGCCTTTTCTCTGTCACTGTTTTGATAGTACAATGTTCTCCTCCCCATGCATTCCAGAGAAAATCAAAAGAACTCGCACCATGGTGTTCAGTTCGCCAAGATCGACCGGCTCGCTGTTTCATGGTCCACGTTGAGGTCTGTGTACGTTTTCAGTACACAGGGCATACATATGTCTAGTTAGATCTAATTACTTAATGGACTGTCGTTCGATTCCCTTTTTCGATTAGTACGAGACCTTATCGGTCTCGGCAAATGTCGTAGAGACAAATACATTCGCACGTTGCTTTAGCGAGAGTTACATTTAAGATTACGTAGGCAATCTTTTTCTTCTTTCTGTTTTACGTTTCTAATCCATTAACGGTGTGACGTGTTTGTGCCTTCAATTGTTAATCTCGTTTCTATATTTCTTTCGGTAGAGAGAGAGAGAGAGAGAGAGATTAATTTTTACCGCCAGTCTAATGCCTCGACATATTTCGCGTACAAAGGAATTAATTTCTTGTCGTTTGAAGAATGATCTTTGAGAGAGGCCTTTCGAAAGAATAACGAACGAATGAGAGAAAATAGGAAGAAAATAGAAA